GGAGAAGTTGTTTCAAAGCAGCTTGGATTTAACAGCAACTTCTCCTTTTTTTCAGGTTTTCCAAACAGGATCTACATGTTACATAAAATGCAGCCGGACCCAACTAACGCAGAGGGCCGCAGATGGATACATGATGGGTATTATGTGGGAAACTGATAATAAGTGGATAGAACATGAGTGAGTGGTGATTGCATTAGGTGCAGTATGGTGTATGTGGTGTAAGTGATTGATTAGGTTAGTTATTGTATCAAGCTGTGCCAAGCCCTGACTATCAATAATTAAAGTTAACTTCATACAGGCAAGACATAGAAGAATGGGAAAATACTGAACCTAGCTACATAATACATAGAAAATGTCCATCCACAGCATTCCAGAGCTGCAAAAATCTCTCATCTGCTGGAAGGTCCTAAAACCAACATGGCAGCCACATGAGGGCGCTCATGGCAGATCCTGTGGCTGCCCCAGCAAGCATTCCGAGGGCCAGCTGCTGTCCATATCGTCGTTCGTAGGGATCCTCTCTGACAAGGACAGGTGGCATTCCATGAACTGGGGACAAGACAATGAACAAAGACAGAGCGTTATTTGTCGTAAATACAGGACTCGGCATTGTAAAACCACATAACGCCATGTTACTTACTACCCAGTCCTAAAATCCCAATTATTGATGCTGTCAGCGTATACAGAGCCTGGTTTGGAGAATCAGGGGCTATACTTTACTGGCTGTAGCTAGATCACAGGGTTACTCTACTGAAGAACTGACACGTTTCTGTGCAGCCTACACTTATGGTCACAATATAAGATTTTCACACTTAGGGCAACATTGTAATATAAAAAGGGAAGCATAGCTCTGGCAACTGAATAGGAATTTCCCATATATGTCAGTTGGAGAAATGTTATCAAATGTTATCAAACGGTTCGCAGCGAACGGTTCGCCACTGACTCATCATTGAGTAAACTTTGACCCTGTACCTCACAGTCAGCAGACACATTCCAGCCAATCAGCAGCAGACCCTCCCTCCCAGACTCTCCCACCTCCTGGACAGCTCACTAAGAATGCAGCTTCACAATGGATGCTGTCCAGGAGGTGGGAGGGTCTGGGAGGGACGGTCTGCTGCTGATTGGCTGGAATGTGTCTGCTGACTGTGAGGAACTGGGTCAAAGTTTACTCAATGATGAGTCCGTAGCGAACCATTCGTGGCGAACAGTTCGGGACATCACTACAAGGGACTGTTTTTTTTAATTTCACACTATACTAATAATATACATGTATCTGCCATAACACTTACTGTTATTTGAATCAATGTTTTACACAGCAAAACAAATCTATTATCTTTACATCCCACATACAACACAATATAATCACAAAATAAAAGTAAAAGCTAATTTAAAAAAATGCACAAATTTAAAATTTACTGTTCAGCATCATCTACATAGTCTCAAGTAAGCATGTTTCTGCAGCTCTCCCAGAATTCCCAGCTTTATATGTAAATGAGCACAGAAAGGCATCACGCTCAGACTTTCTCCTGCTTCTGCCTGTCGAGCTGTCTGATCACAACTTGTGCTTTGGTTTTAAAAGCGGTGTTTAGAGAAATGCCTCATTGCCAAGGACACCTGAGATGTGCAGGTTAAAGTGTGAATCACAATTTGCATGTCCAGCTGAGCTTTGTGGAAATAACCTTTCATGGTAATTCCGAGGTAGACCACCCCAAGCTAATAATTGCAGGAGATTTGCAGGAGGAGTTGAGTAGAAAATGTATTTTAAAAAAATTTATACATGTAATAATCATTTCTCACCAGTAGATGGCAGTGTTAGACTTGCCAGTGACAAGCATCACTTTCATAATGAGTTCAATGCTCAATACAGATCCACAAATCCTCTTTTAATGAGGGAGTGCTGTATTCCTCCAACTAGCCGAGCACATTTAAACACAAAGGAAAATAAAATACTGAATGAGTGCAAAATAACTTTTTGTGTATATTCAATATTCTGTCTCAGCCATTCTGGTGGTAATTGCGTTTTTTTTAAAGTTTATTGCATTTTATATTTTGGCAGCTGCCTCCACATGTAGAAATGAACTGATTTTGGATTTTTTTTTAAAAAAGGTAAAAAAACCCCACATAAATAGAGAAGGGAGAGGCAGCAAATCCACGATTCCTTTATCTTTCTAATAAATGAAATGTCAGTAACGATAGAATTATGAGCAAGTGCTTCTATTTGTGCAGTGAAAATGGATCCAATCACTGTCAAAGCAAAACATTAAACATCTACAATCTACATTCACAACCAAAAAATTATATATATTTTTAAACTTACTGTAGCCATAATGGCCATAACCGTGACCTGTATAAACTGCGTGGTGATCATGCATAGGTACGGTTTGGTAACTGTCATCATAAGGATCGTACACATACACCTGAGGATAAAGGGATGCATGTTTAAAGAATCGAAATTCACACAGAATTAAAAAAA